TGTGTGTGTGTGAGGGAGAGAGAGTGTTTCACTGTGTAAGTGTGACTGTGTGTGAGTGTTACATTACTTTGTACATTAGAGGATGATGTTCATTTTAGTAAACTGTTAATGTGTTTTGTGATTCACGTGAGATTACGAGTATTTGCGAGTACTCACACTGCGTGCTCGGGTCAGTATCCGTGGTGAGTTTGACGTAGTTGCTGGGAAACAGACCCTCCCGCCCGTTGAGCTCGCCTTTCCACCAATCGCAGTCGTCCTTGTTGAGCACTGTGATCACCTGACCCTTCTGAAAGGCCAGCTCGTCATCGTTCTGGGCCACATAGTCGTACATGCCGATCACCTGACACACAGCTTCAGGACCAGAGAAAGACATGATGGACAGGATGTCAACATTTTCAGCTTCAAGGTCACAAGTGACAGTTACAGAGACAATTTGCTCTTTATTAAGAACTTTTCTTTTCTGTTGGCCACGTCTTTTCTACCAACTTACACACGAGATTCATGTTGGTTTTTACACAGTGTATTCACTCATCTATGAACCTATAAAGCTTTAATTTTAGTTCATTATTACATTCTCTTCATAGTCAAAACTGGTGGCGTTGATGTATGTCTAGAGATTCAGACTACTGTACGCCAATTTCCACATAGTCCAATTTTAGTGACTTAAAGTTTTATTAAAGTAACTCAAACTCTCTAAAAGACAACACATTTCAGATCTTTTTATATATTTTTTATGGACTTGCAATAAAAAAGGAAAAACAACAGCTTTTCCATATGGTTACATATTTCTGGTTTGATATTTTAGCTTATTCATTTAGCTTTTCCAGCACATTGTGGAAGTAGCCACAGGATTTTAATGACGTTGTACTATTGTGTATTTATCCGTACCTGTGCTGGCAGGAGCCAGTTTAGGAGGGGTGGGCTCTGTGGGCGTGGTCTTGCTGGTGCTGGGACTGAGCAGCTTCACATAGTTGGCTGGAAACCAGCCTATCTGGCGCTTTTTCCCCCGAGCCTGAACCAATCAGAACACAGTGTGTTATTATTCATAAATTACCCTGATATGCAAACAGCCTCATAATCACAGCATTGAAGGTACATGTCTAGAAGTAACTATGATACCCATACAGAGGTAAATATACGATTGTATTGTATGATCCAAATCAACTATAGTTTAATTATTAGATATTAATAAAATCCAGACAAAAAGTTACTTTTTAAAAACCACACAAATGTCCTCAAAAAATGTATGTAAACTGATGTTTAGTATAATTCAACTGTATTAGGGCTATTAGGGCTTTTCTTTTGCAGAGTCATCAGTGGCATCTGGCTACTGGCCTTGTGAAGTTTTGGTAGATTTCCTTTTCTCTACCTTCTCATTTCTTTTTATGCCAGGACAACATATTGAACATTTCTTTGCATATATTAGAGTTTGTGCTTGTGTACCTGGAGCTCACCCTCCCACCAGCCCCCTGGGTTCTTTTTTCTGATGAGGATGAGCTGTCCTGGAGCTAATGTCAGCTGCTCTGCTCCTGTAGCACTGTAGGGGGCGATCACCTGTGCGATCTCTGAAAGAGAGACAGACAGGAAAAAGAAGAAGTGGTTAGCAGACAGTTCAGCTCCTGAAGGAGACTGGCTTTAGTAGCAGTGTTTCTAATCGCTGTAGTTTTGAAATGCAAAAGGCATATATATCTGTGTAAATTAATTACTTTAGCTATACATTTATATTTATAAGTCAATATTATTGATATTGTCTGCAAAAACAATAAAGGTTACAACAGCAATATTATAGAAAGATCACCTGGTTTCTTTCCCAGACTGCCTGTCTTCCCTGCTGGTCCCAAAGACTACAAACAGAAACAAAGTTTAAATAACAATGATCACAAATATTTCCCTTGTTGTGAAAAAAGTCCACAGACGCGCCAACAGTTTTGGTCCACCCTCTTATGTTCCGAGCAAAGTCTCACCTCAGAGGCAGAGTCTCGTGGTTTCACATAATTGGATGGGAAGACTCCAGTCTTGCCCCCGACCATGCCCGTCCACCAATCCCCTTCTTTCCTGGTCACCATGACGATATCTCCCTGCTGGAAACTCAGGTCGCCCTGTTCACTGCTCTCGTAGGTGTACATAGCCACGTACTCAGCTGATGCATGAGGACAGAGTCAATGTCAGTACTGGCTGGATTTTCTTTAACAAATATGTACATTTACATGTTTGCATGCGTTACCTTCTCCTGACTCAGAGGGTTTTGTTGGGGAAGGGGAGGGGCGTTTTCCATTGGGTGGGCTGTCTGATACTGCAGATTCACTAAATGAGATAAGGAAGAAAAATTTAATTATTTAAACTGTAACTGTTTTTTTGTTTTTTTTAAATAAAATACGTTTTTTTTTTTGAAAATTGCACAAATAAAGAGCATTGATATGAAGAGCACAATTTGCCATTAAAAACAAATGTAATCAAGCACTGTTGGTCACTACCAGAATCATCCTTACTATGAAGAGTCCCTTATTGTAATTTCTGTGAAACGCTGATTTTTTTACTTTACAATCAACTGATAATCCATTTATAATGATTTGATTTTTGTTAGCTAAAGCTGCTCAGACAACCTGATCCTGTCTCAGTCCAATCACCTCTAGAAGGTCCCCTGAGGATCTGCAGCTACACTCCCACTAATAATTAATTAGGTGAGATGTGGCAGGAACTGTGTCTTAGAATAGAAAGTTCCAGAAGCCAACTAGTGTGGCAAAGCTGAAGTATAAGTAATAAGACACTGTGTTTCTAAGTTCTATCAGTAACCTGTCAGCAGAATTCTGTCTTACTGACCGGTCTGTAACTTAAAAAAACATGAGGTGACAGTATTTCCACTGTAAAGTCCTAATGCTGAAAAGCTCAGGACTAATATACCAAATTTGACTTGACGTAACATTATAACCTACCTAGTGTTTTTGCTGCGTGCTGGGGCACCAGCGGGGGCCGTGATGGTGGCGGAGATGAGCTTGACATAACTTTTGGGGAACCAGCCTCTCTGTCCAGTCTGCAGTTCACCTAACCACCACATGTCCTGCTGCTCCAACACTGTTATTATCTGTATGAACAGTAATACCATTAGTTCTATTTACTTAGAACAAAACATAACAATAAAAACACACACTAAATAAAATCTACCTCATTTTTGTTGAAGTTGAGGTGGTTGTCCTTCTTCGCTCTCCAGGGATACAAAGCCTGAGCCTGAAGACCCTCGACCTTCTCCCCCTGACAACCAGAGTAACAGTCAATAGTCAGTTTTGGGAGACATTTACCCAATTTAGGTCCAGAAATAAACGTTGTGCATAGTTTTGTGACATTCCTACCTGTCCCAGCACAGGAGAAGGAGAGGAGCCCGTTGTCATGGTAGCGGGGGTGAAGGCGGAGCGTTGTCGTAGCTGCGCTGAGGGAACGCTGAGCGAAGGATTCTGAGCTGCCGAAGAGGTCGGCCATGCATCCCACCCCTCACTGTCTGACTGACTGGCTGTGTTAGAGGGCCAACTGGAAATACAGACACACAGATGACACATAAATATTTATATTGGGAGTGCTGGTTGACAATGACGTGTTTAAAAATTGAGATTATACAAGACTCAGAATGGTGACATCGAAACGGGGTCACAAATATATCAAGAGCATGAATGGATGTTAACATTATTTAATTTTGTGAATGTATTAGATGAACCAGTGTAGCCACACAGACCCTGGTTCTCGTAATACTGACACCAGAAGTACTTACGTGGTGCTAAAGTCAGCCCAGTTACTGTTAGTGGAGGACGTGGAGGAGGAGGTGTGTCCCGGTGCTGGGGGAGGCGTGGTTATTGGCTGCTGGGCTGAGGTGGGTGTGGCTGAGGCTGTTGCACGCAAGCTGATCGGCGCTTCACTGTCGGGTATTCGTTCGGCGTAATTGGCTGGAAACCAACCAGTACGCCCCCTGAGCTCTCCTCCCAGCCAACCGGGTTCACCTGTTTGGGATTCGTCCACCTACGAGTGCAGAGGGGTGGGATTAAGATAAAGATGCGCACACAGGGACACTAATTCATAAAACATGTGTGTGTGTTCAACTCATGGTAGAACAGAGCAGTGGTGTAAACAACAACAGTGGCCACAACAGCAGCAGCAGCAGCTGTTGAATCGCCAAATTAGTAGATAATCAAGTGAAACTAATAGCATATTAACTTGATAACTTGACATTTGAAGCCGTTAATGTTGTGTTCTGGTTCCAGTGAATGTATCATGCCAACCAGGCTCTTATAATGAACAAGGACCTTTTCAATTATCTGTCTAACTGAATAATTCTACTTCTATAAATAACCTGTGGCTGTCCCCTTCACTACAAATAAAGATTTTATATGTTTTCCTCTATTTCTATTTCTATTAGTCTACCATGTAAACTTGCCTAAGTGTGGATTGAGTGGGTTGAGGCAGGTAATGCGTTTAATAAATGGAAAAACTGCAAGGCGGAATGTCTTCTCTTATCTTACTCACGTGTAAGTTTATTTATGGAGACATTGATGGTAATAAAAAATAGATTTTATGTATTTTTTGCAAAGCAGCCTGAAGTGAAGTGGTATTTATTTATCCAGAGAGGTCCGACTGTAAAGCGTTACACTGCATAGCTTCACGCTGACAGTTAAGCACATTCACAGCTTTTCACATTAACTGTGAAAACAAAACAAGCAGAACAACATTTACACATCAGAATGACGAAGCGAAAGACATTCATCCACTGGCAAATGAATGGACATGGACATGAGAGGAACCAATGACAGCAAGAGTTCACATGAGTGCTGGCTTGTGATTGGTGGAGGCACAACACTGGGCGGGGGCAAGAACTTACCCATTCCCCCTTCACCTTCAGTTTGCACAGCGGAGGAGAGAGGAAAGAGTTAATACACACACCACACAGTCACACATAGACACACAGACCTCGCACACAAGAGAAAAACACACATATACGCACATACAGGAGGCCTTATTACAAACGCACACACAGAATACGAAAGAGACAATAAAATATCTGTTCACATAACATGTAAACACACATATTACTGTGGAAGTCCTTGTTAAACTGCCATGGTTGGCAACTGTAGACTCTCACATGACGTAAGTCTGCAGCTTCATCATCATCCTGTGTTATTGTAGCAAGGTGGATGGCTGTAGGATACAAGTGTATGGGAACTGTTTGTTTGCATACTACATACCATGATTACATCTCCAGGAGCAATACTGATCTCATCATGGCTGCGAGCATCAAATGGATATACAGCCCTGTAGTAGACCACCTTCACTGGCTGCTGCTGCTGGTCGAAGCCAGTGACTGGGGCCTTCTGGTCAAAGAGGCTGGGTCCCGGAGTCTTCTCCACTGTAGATAAACAGAGAGGCAGAAATATTAAAACATGGGCTAGAATCCACATTTACTGCCTGCTGTTGGTCAAACTCCAAGACAATACTGTATGTGTCCTTTGGTGAAGGAGGATTTGTTTTTTTGTCCCTTTTAAACCTCATACTTTCTAATGGAAAGGACATAATGCTACTACTCATTCCTGAGGTTACCTTGTTTTAATTAACTAAATTTAATATCAAAATTTTCAAAAATTTGTTTTAATTTTAATTCAGTAAGTTTAGATATAAGTGCTGGGGTTTGTTTCAGACTTAAAATCCTACCCTTGCCTCTAAAGTAGTGCTGAACAATAAGGTAAAAACATCATATTGTGATTATTTGTATTTATTTATTAGTGAGTATGATCACTTTTGCAATTCCACTAATGTTTCAATTAATTGTGCAGCCCTACTCTAAAGACCCTATTATATGAACCTCTGGCTTTTGTCTTCAGTGGAAAGGGGTACGATTGACATTCATTCCCAGGTCAAATGACTGTGCAGTAGTCAGGGGTGATGTGCCGAAGTTCTATATTACTTATTGTTTTTTTACAGTCTATGGGAACAACGTGCAATGGCAATTTTGTTCTGAGTATCATGCAAGAAGCAACACTGGCAAGGCAGTGAGGTGAGAGCTTCTCCTGATTCGAGTGGAAGAGGAAATAAGGATATAAGTCTGGCTATGTGACACTACTGGCAACATTTTGGAGTGAAACAGGCACTGAATTCCTGCTCTAATTCTGGAAGTGAAGATACCACATTAGGTACATTAATTGCATGCCAAACTGGCTGCTGATGGCATCAAACACAGGTTACCACCATACACCAGTGCCTGCTCTGGGGATCTTGTGTTGTGCTCTCCTTCATGCACACATTCACTCGAACAGCCATAACACACCTGTGGAAGCCCAGGGGTCGGTCGGCTGGCTGAACAGCTTGTTCAGTTTCTCCTGCATGTCCTTCTTTCCTCTCCCCTCGTCCTCGACTGATTCTACTGATCCTACTGATCCCGCCCCCTTGCGGACCTCTTCCTCCTCGTCCATCCCTCTCCTCTTCCTCTCCTCTTCTTCCTGAGTCACTCTGTTTAGCCAGGCGTGGGGTGCAGAGATGGAGGCGGGACTGGGAGCTCCAGGGGCAGAGCCTCCTGCTTCATCCCTCCAGGCCACGCTCTCCTCTGATGACAACCTGCGGGATTATTAAAGTATGTACAAAACTTTTCATGGTATGATAAAACAAAACATCTATTCTAACTTAATAGTTTGGATATAGTTCAAGACCTCAGCAAATAACCAAGCCTATCAGCTCTCACCTGCTCTCCTGCAGTTCAGCAGACTTTCTCTCGATTGGGGTGTGCATGTGAGAGTGTGTGTGTGTCAATGTGTGTGTGTCTCCTTCCAGCTCCTTCTGTTTCTGTCTCTGCTGCCGGCTGTGGATCTCCCTCAGCTCCTGCAAGGCATCATGGGATACAGGAAGGAACAGCGGTGAGGAGGAAGTGGGATCAGAGGGCTGGTTGCTACGGGTTACCATCGACAACAAACAAGAACAACAACAGCAGCAGCAGCAGCAGCAGTAGCAGTATGTATTAGTCAGGTGATCAAGGCAAGCTCCGCCCCTTTGACTGTGTCACTGAGGTGATGAGACGTCCCTGCTTGTAACCATGGCAATTACCTGGACGTTAATTATTTTAGACAAGAAGTTGAACTTGGCAGCAGACCACACTGCCTAAGATCGTCCAAATGTGTAAAGAATCAACAGTAGACAGAGACTAAATACGTCTACTCTGTACACACAACACCTAATGTGTGTCCATCCTCAAAGAGGGATTTCTCCTCTGTTTCTTTTACTCAGCTTTCATCCCTTTTTCCCTTATTTTTTCTTTTTTTGGCAGTTTCTCTTCATCCAACCTGAGGGCCTAGGGATAGAGGGTGTTGAGTACAGTACAGATTGGCAAGGCAACATTCTGATTTGTGATTAAGGCTATAGAAAAAAACTGAATGGCAATCTAGCTAGAGAGTGCAACATCCAGTCCTCTTTGTGTTGAGGAGCCACTGAAGAGGACTGGAGCCATGGGATGGATGAGCTGGCCAAAAAGTCTATTGTTCCTAGTGGCTAGCCACTATAGTGCATCGACTGAAAAAGAAAAACACATCCAGCTTCACGGCCACCCAATATACCACCGCCCACAAGCTGTGGTATGAATGGACATTTAGCAGCATTTTTTTTTTTTTTTTGCTGACATCTTGTTATGGACAAGTCAGACAGCTCAGGAGAATCATCTGTTTTTTATGTCAGCCAAAAAACATAGAAGGGGATGTCACTGGGAGGGGGCTTGGTCACTACTGGAGGTTGGCACTGACCCAGCCGCAGACACAGGGCTCCGGTCATGGTGGTGGGGCGGAGCTTGCACAAGGCACAGTATGTTTGTGGGAGGGGTTAGATATAAACAAAAAAGGGAGGAGGGGATGTGGGGAGTCGGGGGATGCGGTGGGGGAGGAAGGGGCAGTTCTGTGTAGTCATGACAACCAGCTGTGCCATTAGAACACACTCTGTTACTACAACAACAACAACACAAGGCAGCTGTTGTGTTTCAGCCAAACAACCACTGTGAGGAAACCTTCAGAAACAAGCAAACCAATCGGAAAGAAGAGACTGGCGGAGGAGTAACACTACAACTCTGGAGAGAGAGAACTCCAAATCACCTGAAACAGGAAGAGGACATGAGACAACACAGCATGCCAGGCATACTCTCCTACACACACAGACTACACACAGACACATACACATTCACCCAAATAAAGTGAAGTTGACCAGATTCTAGTTTATCAGCATGAGCCTAATTAAAGTCTACTAGCTTCTACTTGTCTGGCTGAAACATCATCTGGTAGCATACGGGCAGTAGCATTACAGTACAGTGTAGTAATCTAGCCTAGCATAGCAACAGCATAAAGTCTCTTAATCTAGTAAACGGCTAACCTAGCAAGACCGCTAGCTTAGCATGACAACTGCGTACAGTGTTAACTATGGAGCACAGTTAGACAGCTGGCTAAGTAGTGAGCTAACACCAGCTTGAAGAGGAGGACGACAGAAAAGGCTGGGTTGTTGTGTGGACCTTTATAACGTAGTCTAGCCGAGCCAGACACACCCTGACGGCTGACACACACTCCTGTAGCTGTCCCTGCTCCTGGCACTGAAACACACATATACATATATACATACACACACAGGATCAACCATTCTATAGACACGGACACACACTCACAGACAGTTAATGTTTCAGCCCACATTTACGCACATTGTCCAATTTAGGTATTAAAGTGGATTTATTTGTCAGCAGTTTTTCTGCCTTTAGCACGTAACTCGGACCCCTCAGAGAAAAAGCTGAAGTGGCCTTTTTAAACCATCTCTCATATTTATATATACACGGTGTAAAATAACTTCATTTATTATAAAAGATTAGATAGCAGTAACAGCATGACAGCAGTTAGGTTATGCTGGGTAAGTTTACTTTCAGCTGTAATTTCATTCTCTGCGTGTGAATTTAACATCTGTAGAATATCTAAGAGCATACCTTTTATGTGGAAATTTCATGCCAATTTATTTGATACTGCTTTCCAAGTACCTGAACAAACATTTAAGTCCCTGACGCAAGTCTGGTGATTTTCTTTCAGTAGAGTCTAAACAACACATTAAGGACTTGACTCATGCAAGGAGAGGTTCTTGTGACTCACTGTGATGAGTAATGTGCTGTTACAACTGTTAGTGTAGCCAGTGTGACAAAAACAGGCTGAAGTTAGCTACAGCCCAGTTGTCAGCTTATTTAGTGCAGAGTATAAGCCTCAACAGATTCTTTTACTGACCTATCTGCATTGGATTGTAGATAATGGTTCAGTTAAGAGTGTTTTTAGGTATTTACTTGATGGTTTCAAGGTTAGTAATGAGGCTGACACACATTTTGTCTACATTTACACACTCCAGGTTAATGTGCTTATTTCTCCACACAAATGAGTTAGATCTAAATAAACAACCTAGTAAATAAATATCTCTGGAGGTTCAAAAATATATTTTCCCCTTCACCATTTATATTTGCTTAAGTCCTTCCTTCTTGTTTTTAGTGAGTCACAAATGAGTTTTGCTAATGAATCTATTTGCTGGATTAGTGTGTATTCAGTATTGAGTGAGAGGTGTTACTGACTCCGAGTTTTGAGATTAGAAAAGACAGCACACCAGAATCAGTACACAAGTATGTGAATGTCAGTGCTTTTCAGTAGTCAAACCACTCGCAGCTTGACAATTACAGTCAAGCTTCAACTGGCTGCAATACACCTAGCTGCCTGGCGGGGGTGTCAGAGTGCACTACACATGTTAATCAGGAACGTCTGCACAAACCAGGCATTAAAAAGTCTGGTTTGTAGGTGTTAAAGACAGCAAAGCCTTCTAAAGTGACTAAAATACTTGAAGCTTGCAAGTTAGTGGTCTGATCAGAGGGTGTTTTACCTGTAACCTTTTCTCAAAATCTGCCAAATCAGACAGTGCAGGTAAAATCCAAATGCAAAAACTGTTCTACGCTCCAGTTCTGCCACAAGAGGCAGTGTGTTTATCATATGATTTGATATCATTTTATATTACTGAGTATATCCCAGCTGCAGTACCACCCCAGTCCAGCAGTGGCAGTGTGCTCTACCTGTCTCCCTCTCTGTTCCTCCTGAAGCTGGCGTCGCAGGGCTTCTATCCTGGCACAGTGGTTGGCATAGAACTCACACAGAGACTGGCATGGGCAAGGAAGCAAAAGGCCAGTGTAGGAGATATACAAAAGGAGTAGAAAATATAGAAGGAAGGGTTTATTATGTGGATTAAACAAATAATATAATAGGAAGAAAATGAAGGCAAGAGGTCAAGAAAAACAGGGTGAAGAAGCAGGTAGAAGAAAAAAAAAAAAACACAGAGGAGAAGGACAGCGAGTAGAATTGGCAAAATGGCAGAAGGAGCATTTGAGACGAAGAGTCCCAGAAGGTGTAGAGGACAGAGGAGGCACAGCAGCATGACGAGAGAAGATTTTGGGGAGAGGAAGTGGTGTAGAAAGGAGGGCGGACGGCAGTATAGTCAAATATTGTTCACATCTCAGTGGTCTGTGAGCAAAGAGTTACCCCACTGAGACAGGACTTCACCTTAATCTGAACACTGCTGGCTTTGTTTGTTGCTCAAAGGCTTTGCACCGCTCTCTCTCATTGCTGCATTATGTTGACTAAACTGAATAAGACTGAGCACCAACTTCATTAGATTAGCCATTAGAAAATCTATTTATTGTGGTCTGTGTTGTCTTTGCTTTCCTCCCTTCCCCCTCTTTCTTCTCATTTTTTCTCTCCTCCTTCTTGGAACAGACCACAGGACTAACTCTCCTCTCTTAGACCTGACTCTGTGTTGTGAGGAAATGAGGAGGAAATGAGAAACAGGGACAAAAGGTGGTCTAGGAGACATAAACAGACTGCTTAAGAATAAAACCCCTCCATCTTCCTCTCTCACTAGCAAATTGTTGGTTAAAGCTCCATGAAGCAGCTGTCTGGGAAACCACTCACTGTTCCTGTGCACAGCTAGCTCTCTCCAAAAACACAGCAATCCACATTAATATACGTAATAAGACACCAACATAAATACAGAGACAGATACAGTGGTCAGATATAAATATGACAACTTTAAACACACCATAAACATTAACATTGAGACTATGTTAAACCAGTGAGGCTGGGGTTATGAGGGACAGGACAGGACAGGACTTAAAGCTACAGTTAGAATACCAATGTTTGGAATATGGACAATGGTTCATTTTGCAAAAAACTATTACTGTGATGGCAAGCTAGTTAATCGTTTCAGAATTATTAAACCAATTAGCACATGCCACTATATTGTTTATGTCACATGAACATTAAAAAAAAAATCTGCTACTGTGGATCAAGTTGGGATAATTTAGTGCAAGTAATTTTTTTTGATACTTTTAGAGCTCATTTGAAAACATTTCAAAGTCAAGGCCTTCAACAGATTTCAGTTTACTTTGTGCTTTCCTTCAGATAAAAAACAACATACAATACAAACAAGCAAGCAAAAAATAACATTTATTGTTGGGTAACTGTTAGCTGTTTTCTGCTCATATTTTCCTTTAAACACTCGATGTGCTGTGTGATGACAGCATGTATGTATTCAGCTGTACTGTGCTAAGTCAGTTTGTTTATGAGTTCATTAAGGCAATAATGTAGTTAGTTGACCAAGTATTTACTTTTATACAAGTATAGACCTGACCTTTCCCTCGTGTACTGTATAGGTGTGTAAGTTTATTAGCCGTTTACCTTCAGCTGGGTATTGAAAGCATCTATTTCCAGCAGTTTGGCCCTCGTTTCTCTCTCCACAGCATCTAGCTGCTCTCTGAGCTGCTGCCTGCTGGTCTCCTTCTGTTCCACAGCCTTCTGCAGGGACGACAGACTATCACCTAAATACACAAACACAGACAGCGTGAGATCAGGTTAGTGCTTTCAGGTTAGGTTCATATAATAAAGAGTTCAGTTTTGTGAGGAGTAGGTGCATCAAAACACTTGATGAAATCCAATCCATATGCTATTCATTATTGCTTCTCTGGAGGTCAGACATGTAGTACGATAACTTGCACCATCCTAAACCATGATGCAAGTGCATCCATAAATCTAATCAAGAATGCTAACATAATGGCAAGAATATGCATATGCCATGTGACGTATTCATTTAAGTGTGTTTAGTTTACAAAGTACTCACGATGCAGACTGTTCTGTTGAACCTGTTTCAGCTGGTCGTTGAGACTCTGTTTATCAGGGATTAGCCTCCCCAACCACTGCTGGGAGTCCTGCAGACAATAACAGAAACAATGACCACATATTCATGAGTCATTGCGTTTAATTTCCATTTTTTTCCATGCGAGTTTAATAAAAATCTGATTATCACTGATGATTGCAGAAATGAATGTGACACCAGTCTGTCTGAATCCTTTGTGTTTATTTGCTGATGGTTTAATTTGTTTTGCGTACCTGCAGCTGCTGTTGCAGCAGAGTGATTTCAGCAATGCGTGTTTCTCTGGTCTGATTGGTCTGCTCCACCTCTCTCCGCTGAGCTGACAGACGAAACCGAACATCCTTCAGTTTGCCCTCCAACTGGGTCTTCTTATCATTCTAGAGATTGGGAAAGAGAGATGCAAAGGAGTATTATTATCACATATCTGTTGCTGTACAAAGTATTAAGTTACAGGGAGTGTTAGTTGACTGCTGTTTTGTTGCTTCCTGTTTGTATTAGTTGATCGCTTTTGGTTTGTCTTTGAAGGATCTTTCAAGTTCACCATTGTCACACAAACCCATGCTCCATCTGTCAATCAGAGGAGCATCTCTCTACCACACAGTGACTTTGTTAATACTGGTGCTCAGATCGTCAACTTAACAGTCAGCTTGGTTAGCTCACAGAGGTTAACTTGGTTAGCTCACAGAGGTTAGCTTGGTTAGCTCACAGAGGTTAGCTTGGTTAGCTCACAGAGGCCTTGTCTTTATTGTAGAAGATAGCAGTGCTGTTGCCAGGTGACATCCTGAGCTTGTGCCTCCCTTTGCATTTCACCAGCAGCTTATAGCAATCTGCTTTGACTGTAAGGTCATATTCAGACCAAATCAGGCAATTAGCCGCAGGCTGGTGTGACAGTGTGGGTGTGTCTATTTGTGCTTTGGAATATAACCGATGTGGAACAATTAGAAAGAGTTTCACTTATGATTCACTGGCTTTCTCACTACTGGCACTCCCTCTCCTCATTCACTTGATGTCGCTAATAATTGCAATGTATTATGACTCGTCAGATTTCAGAAATGTGACTTTGATTGACAAGTACTATATCCTGTCTCCTCTGTGTATACAGCATGTTTGATTATGTGACTAAGTGTGTGTATATGTTTGATTACCAGAGCCTCCAGTTCAAACTCCAGGGTCTTCTTTCTGGCTTTGAGCAACACTATACTCTCCTGCTCCCGGTTTCTTTGAGTCAAAAGCTCTTGGCGACGTTGACGCTCCCACTCCAGCTGACGCTGGCGCTCTAATTCACGCTTAGCAGCCTGGAAGAGACAAAACACACACACAAGTTACACTTATTATCACAATGAAACAACAGCTCAGAACTACACATGATTGGATATCACATTACATATAAAGAAAAATTACACACTTCATTATACACAACAAGCCATCTGCTGTAAGTGTGTAAATTGGGCTCTTTACTGTAAGAGTTAAGATCTAAAGGAGGAGGTGGTGAGTAGTGAAAGGCCGCTAAGTTTGCCTGCAGTAGATGTAATTACAAGTCTGCAGCAGTTAAACGTCAGCTCAACCATAACTCAACAATTAAAATGCAGATAGCTGGTAATCATTTTTTCTCCTTCATACCTCTCTCCTCTCTATCTCTTTGCGTCTCTCCTCTTCTCTCTGCCTCTCCAGCTCTCTCTGTTTCTCCAGTTGTTTTTCTAGTTCGTGCTGTCGTCTCCTCTCCTGCTCCATACGCTCACGCTCCTGAAACACGAGCATACAAAACTGAACAGGCAAAACAAACAAGTTTATTATTTGTTCTGGGTCACCCAAACACATTTTCCTTTCCTCCAAGATTCAAATCTTACTTATCTTGACACATTTTACAGACATAGGATATTGTGGCTGTTACAGTGAAAGGATAGTGGCTATTATAAATGCAAATATTTTACAGCCTTATATACAAGCCATAAACCATGACTAATCCAAATTCTGAAAGCACTTAGTGTACTACTACTGAATATAGCTAATATAGTCTACCTTCCTCTCCTGTTCCTCTCTCTCCAGCGTAGCCAGCCTCTCCTGCTCTTTCCTCTGCTGCTCCTGCAGTGCTTGACGTCTCTTCTCCAACTCCAGGTTTCCTCGCTCAAAGTTTTCCCTCTTCTTATCCTCAAACGTCACTGTGGTGATACAAAGGGAGTTAATATAAACACTATGATTAAAATTGAAAAAGAAAAGATGCGATATGTAGAAAAAAAAGGCGAACATGCCACCTTGTTTCTGGCTTTGCTTAAGCACTAAGAAGACATACATATACTGTACATGGCTTGACTGCTGGATTGAAAAGTGGAGTGCTGTCTGCATTAAGAGGATTAAGTTTCTTTTAAATCAAAAATCACAGTGAAGTCTTAAAGAGAACATAGATAAGGGCAGTTCTAGCCCCAGTTTGACCAGTAGTATGATGTCATGTGCAGGACCAATCACCTGGTAGCTTTTTTTCCTGACTGCTCTCCGTCTCCTCCTCGGCCTCCTCCGGGACGCTCTTCTGGTCTGACTGAACACTGTCACTTCGCACACGCCTTTAAGACACATACACACACCATGAAAACAATACAAATTATCAATATAAACTGTCAGTATTGTCACTAGACAATGTTTTATTACTTGCGATAATGTTCACAATTTATAATATAAACAGTAATGGATAAGAAATTGTTTGTATATATCATGTTTATTTGTAAAACATGAAAAAACAACATCAGCTGCCGTTAAAATGAATGTAGGTAAGTGTTTATGGCAACTATTGCCTGACTACACAAATCGAACATACTGCTGTCAGCTAGTCTGTTAATGAGGTATTTAGTTACAGTATTTACCTGAAAGTGGGTGGGAGGTAATCTGGTGGTAACACAGGGGGTAGCGGTAACCCTGACATAGCCATATCTATGAGGTGCATGGCTAAGATAAACTCCTCAGCTGTCAACTTTCCATCCTGGTCGATATCTGATAGACTCCTAAAGGGAAAAAAGGATGGACAAATTTCGTATTTTAAGGACTAATGCCTTCTTAGTATGCAACAAATGGTTGAATTTGAATGTACTGACCATATTGTGGCCAGCTGACCCTGAGGAAGACTGGACTGCATCAGGATAGTGCGAGCCTGGGGACCTGGAACACGGACACACATCGAAGGTAGAGAAAGAAAAAAACACACATTTACAGCTGTGGTAAAAAGGACATTTTTATCACAACTAACAACATGTTTGTGTATGTGTGAGTACCTGTGAGGTGTCCACTCATCATCTTGTCATGGGAGTTGAACAGCTGTCTGTACTTCAGCCTGGAGGACTGAGGAACGGCCCAATCAGAGGGGGGCTGAACACTGGGAACAGAGTAAAGTGACTTAAATAAATAGACATAGTGTAAGATGTACGCTCCTAACCTCCTTGAGTGGTTTAAGTGCACAGCCTACGTTTATATTAACTTACAAAGAGGCAAAAAGACCCATTCAGTAAGAGAAACAACAGCAAACAGCTTGTCACAATATTAGTGGAAACTATAAAAAAAGATGTGAAAATCTTTTACAAAACATTTTCTCATTTTCGTAGGTTAGGCAAATTGGAGCAAACATTTCTGAATATGTGGCCTACCTAGCAGTGTCCACGGACGCCCCCTTCTGCAACTTGGTACTGGAACGATTAAACGATGAAGACTTGTTGACAGAGGGAGCTGAGAGAGACATGAAACAATGACCCGAGTACAATTTAGTCTGTGGGTGTGACATACTTTGCTTCTTCACTCATCTGCATGCAGAATACACACTTTGTCAAGCATTTCATTTCATGACATTTCGTCAAATTCTCTTACAGTGCGATCATAAATTCAAAGTCAACAAAGCTGCTATACCTGGCTCACAGCTAGATTTGTCACCTCTTCTGTAAAGTTCTAACTTCACTACAAAACAGTGACCTGCTACTCAGATGAGTACAATCTTCATACAGACATAAAAATGTAAATATGAATAAGTATATTATGTGTAAACAGAAGCTTAGAACACCCACAATTCCTACAGACGCAACATAAACATTGCAACACACCACCTTCCCCTGTGTTACAGTGGGTTACCTGGGTGGGAGAAGCCTGAGATAGGCTGCATCATGCCTGTGGGAGGAGCCCCGTTGGCGATGGGCTGAGGGAGGGGAGGCGGGGCAGACGAGACGAGCGGAGGAGACACTCCGACAGGGAGGGGTGGCAGGGGGAGCGGAGGCACGGCCGAAAGAGGAGCTGCGATGGGAGGAATGGGGGGCATGCCTAGAGAACAGATATACAGACAGATGATTAGACATGTGTTTGTCAATAGCCACACGGCGCATTAAAGAGAGAGACCAGAGAGAAGTACTATCAATATGTCTCTAGGGCTGAATAGGACATGATATATTCATACTAGTAAATGGGGTGTGAGAGCCAAAGTGCAAGTTGAAGGAGAAGAACATTATGACTCTATACTGTGTTTGCATTCTAACTTTATTGATCAGCCTTGAATGTGCAATAGGCTGAAAGAGCGTGAGCAAACATTTCCTAAACGACCTTTGGAAAAGACATCATCCTTATCAAATACACATAAACAGTGTTTTACTAGTACAGTTTTATCACTGACTTTTTCAGACCCAACAAGACAGTAAGAAACCCGTTGTCATGTCAACCGACAGCAAAAGATTACATCTATGTTATTGAATCAAACGACAGTGTTTCCTGTAGAAACTTCTCAGCAGTGAACGAGAGAGCACAACCAGTGCAGAAGACAAATGGAATTAAAATGATCATTGCCATTGTTTAGTCTTACAATAATCAATAAGAACTTAAACGGCTGTTAGAAAAACAAAGCAGGTTTACAGAATGCCAGCCGCCATAAACACAAGGATTCAAGCTTATTTTATTATCATTTACCACATTGGTTCTCAATCTATGGTACAAGCTGCCTCTAGCAGTACATCGGGGGAATCTCTGAAATATATTTTGTCTATCAGATCAATTTAAAAACGTGGATACGTACAGTTACAAGCTAAAACGTAATGGCAAGATAGTAAGGAGGGGTAAAATGAATGGTTCAAAAACTATTAGGAAGAGAAATGTGGATCTGAAATCTGGTTCTTGAACCGGTTCTGTTCAGGATTCAACAACTGTCACCAATAAATAATCTCACTGTGAATAAATCTGCCTCTTGTCTTAACTACCTCTTTACTAACCTCTTAACTTTCCGTAGCTGAATAGGGTCGGCCTACACTACTGTATTTCAACATCAGTCATATTTATTCATAATATTTTCTAAAGGTAGTAAAAGGTTTTTGAAACACTGACCTAAAAAAACTATTTCACACACATTACACTGTTTTTTTTTTGTTTTGTTTTGCCTGTCTTACCGAAGCCGGTCTGTGGGGGTAAAGGCAGTGGGGGTTGTTTCATACTGGGAGGAAGCGCGGGGGGCAAAGGGTGACCCTGGAGTTTCAGTTTGATGAGTTTCATGGCGATGGAGAACTCGTGGATGTCCATACGACCATCACCGTTCATATCAGCCAGAGCCCTTAAAAGGTGAAAAGGGTTAAAACAATGACGCAATGCTAGAAGAAGAATTGGTTTGAATAGACTTTAATACCAAACAGAGTGCAACTTCATCATCATAAACTGGTTGTCACTTCCTGGCTATGTGACTCACCAGATTTGGGCCAGGATGGGGGCGGGCAGTCCTGATTGAAGGAAGAAGTTCCTGGCTTGGTCGCCTTGACAGACAAACAGAAACAGGATGTAAGATTGAAGGAGGGATCCAAAACAAAAGGCCACTTTGAGTTTTAACAGCATGAATTCAAATGTTCGATGCTCTTACTGGGCTGCTGAATTCCAATAATAGATTTGTCAAATGACTGATTGAAAATACTGAATTTGCCAGGCACACTGAGATTTGAAGTTGAACTGTAACATTAAATTGAACATACATCAGAGAACTGAGGACATTTATTGACACTGCCCTTGCTCATGTCCTCATCTCACCTCACCCGCCGCACACTATAAGGGTGTGTATTGTGCGTAGATATGAGACAGAGAGACTGTTACCTGTGATGTAACCCCCGGCAGTCGGAGAGAGGCTGTGAAACTGCTGATCATGTTTGGCTCTCTCATCCACTGAGATTAGAAACACATCTGGACCTAACCCACAAAACAAACGCACACATAGTTACAGAGTTAAAAGCCAAACCTGAGGGCCAAGACACAGACAGTGGGAGAAAGGGAGGTATGAGAAGAATGTGTTAGTCATGAGTTTCAGTTCCTGTAAGAAGATTCCTACTAATTGTGTCAACTCAGAAACTGATGAACAAAGATAATAAGGATGAATGGATGAGGGACTGACAGGTGACTGTTGGCAAGACAGTCTATGACTAATAACATGACAATTATCCTAACTGTAACAATCTAAAAATTTGTTTTGGCAATAAGGTGATCCTACGAAACCAGAGCCGGTAACTCAAGTCAGCTTTATTAGTCAGTGTCAGTGGCCTTACTCAATAGCTTCTTCTTCATTGTACTTTAAATTAAATTAGATTCCACATCAGCGTTAGTCAGAAAGTAGCCAATCAGAGCACTGGTTCTCTTTAGTTTCAACTGTCAACTCCTTCCTGTACCATTTACTGGCAATTTTAGTCAATTGTGCTGACTCATTGTTTTATGCAAGAACAGTTAGTGCTGACAGAAACATTATCTCCTTGTATTCCCCTTGTTCATGACTGTTGGAAAAAAAAGCTTATTCAGTTGTCTTTACATATGTAGCCTGCATCTTTCGGCCACAAAACGCAGAAAAAGCACATAAAAAGCTATTAGTAATGAGCTTTTTATTGTAATTTATATTTTGTGGACACAGTAACTGTCCAAACAGTAATTTTGTCTAAACCTGTTCAATAGTGCCTCCATTCACAGTGCTTATAGCTGAACAGGGACATTTCCTCTATTATGTACCACTGATAAACAATGATTCGAGTGGCTGGTCCTTATTCAGCACAGAAGCAAGTATGTAATATGTTCTTACAAATCCGTACAGTCTGACAAATCTCACACTGTGTGCTTTTTAAACAGTTGGAGTCAGTCTGCCTTTGTCTCTGTCGGTCTTTCTGCTTCCAGTCTCCCTTCAAAAGCACTGACCACCGATTTCATTGTGGAAAGTGTTATTTTGATAGTTCTCATAAAATTAGACATTTTGTAATATTTTGGTAACCTGATTAGGGATTTTACAGCATTATACTTTTAATGCTGCACGTTTGCAGCTCTGTCTTGTTGTAATGTGACTTCACTCTGCCTCTCTCCTGAAATAATTCAATGTACTTGACAATTAAATTGATAAATAATCTTGGGGGGGATTCTAAGACATGGATGTAAAACTGGTCATGGATAATGAAAGTGGATTAATGAAAGCTGTGGCTCGTCCTCTGATGCACTGATGGAATATTATGATGGGTTAATGGGCAACGTGCTGCCATCTTGGCACTCACAAGACTCTCTTTGATAGCAGTCACACACACACATACTGACCTGTGAATGTGGTGGGGAACTGTGCCATGGTTCACTCAGTCTTCTGCACTACACAACACCTGAAACAACACATTTAGAAAAACAGATGAAGTGTTTATCAGTCTCGTCCCACCTCAATGAGTATTCAACTGCTCAATAATGCAGGAGCATAACAAATTATTTAGTAATGTAACCACCACAAAACTGCTTTCATAGTGAAGAGGCTGGCTTTTGTCACCGAGCTCAGCAATCCAACTAACAGCACAATGAAAGGACCAAATCATGTCCGGGCACCTGCCAAAGGTGCTGATACAGCTGACAAACTGAGTGAGGGGAAAGATTTCCTGCAGTTCATTTTCCACTCTGCTGTCCTTCAATGCTGAAGTTGTGGCTTTGTATTTGGTCTCCAGCCCAGTGAGCCATTATGCTCCCTGTGTCTTAAAGACTTACAAAAACACAAAGCACATAAACACAGTAGTTCTCCTCAAGGGAGCTGGCAAGTTTATAAATCCCACATTTCAGATTAGTCTAAACTAAATATGCTTAAGAACTCTGCATCAATCTGCTGTTCAGACTAGTGCCAGTCCACAGGGAGGGGGGGCCATGTCAGCCATGCTTATGCATGTCACCAGGGCAGCAAACCTTTATTTATGCAGGGCCGGCTGCCTGAGCATACTTGCTTCACACTCACATTCCCACTTGGGAGCTGACCACAGTGAACACCAGTTTTCTACTGTTGGCCTGTAAAAAGCTCCACTGGAGTCTTTTTACAGTCAGTGTTTTTTCTTTCAGCGATGCAAAGTGGAAAGTCACTAACTAAAAGACATTGAAGAAACAGTGAGTTAGTGTTTTTAAGATGATGGGTTTGACTGAACACATTCAAAAATGATACAAAACATAGTCCAAATTGAGCTGCAATCATTAAAAAAACTGATTATTAATGACTTTTGACGGAGTTTACTCTTGTGATTGACAATATTATAGTGTGACAGAAAAATACAAAATCGGAATATTTTACATTACATTTTTTAATGAATTCTTCTAGATGTTCAAAACATTGTGTTCAAGGTTTATGTCTGAATTATGTGTTTAAATCTCTTTGAAATACATTAAATAAAGCAGTGCCTACACCCTCACCCGTGTGTGTGTGTGTGTCATACCTCTGGCCCAGTAGAGGTATGTTAATCAGATCCAGACCTGCCTCCCTCCCCTGTATCCCTGTGGCCAGCAGACAACCCATAATAATAATCTGACACACATTGCAACAGACAAGGACCTAATGAGGGTGTGTGTGTGTATGTGTGTGTTGGGTGGTTGGGTTGCTGAGTTTCCCCCCCACTGTTTCGTGTTACAGAAATCTGCTTTCTTACTATAGGGATTGGAAGGGAGAAACCCCGTTAAAGGGTCAGTTCGCCTTAATCACGTGGTTTGTGGTATCTTGGCATGGAGTGTCAGCCTCTTTGATGACATTCAAAGATATTCTCTTCTGAGACTTCTGCCACCAGCACAACATGATGGAGGGGGGTTGGAATTTAGTCCATAGTGCTCAAATCATCAAAAATACTCAACTCCAAAGTCTCTGTCCAGAAACAGTCACTCAGACACTGCTGTGGACATTTTCACTCAGACAATTTGTTCAGGAGAAAATTGTCCTTGGCCTTGAAGGGTGTGTGTGTGTGTGTCATTATCATTAGAGCGGGAGGACAAAGTAACCAGCGTAACTAGGTCAGACGAACAAAGCCCACCCTGCACAAACACACACTGAGACACACTTCCACGGCTGCCACTGAGAAGCTACTGAAGCAGTTGAGCAACTACAGTAGACTGTCGGCCAGCTCTAAACAAGGGACAAGAGCCATCAAACTGCTGCTCAACTATGTGAAACTTTTCTTCATTAAAGCTAATTCTGTCCCATTTTACTCCACCACCAATACAGCAGAGAATACAGTCTGAAGTGACAACAGAAAGAAAGCTTACACTGGTTTAAGCATTAAGGCTTATATTGTGCATGTATTCTTGACCAGAATGAACACAAGGAGTTCATCTGCAGCAGAGAGCACAGTGTTATCCTTAGGTGAAGTTACAGGAAGTGGAAAAGACTTACTTCTACTTCTCATGCTGCCAGAATCGGTCAGATGTCGGGCCAAAACTCCGTCCAGCAAAATAAGCTGCTTGTGAATCAAAGTGACTTTTGTTTACTAGAGGCAGTTTACCACAATACCTCAGAGCAAAGCAAACAAAGTGCAAGAAGGCTCACGTCCTTTGTTGCGAACCAGAGTTGGCCGGTGGTCCCTGTGTTCACCATGACGTTAGTCTGACCCTGTCTCGATGCAGCTGCAGGACTCAGAATGGGCATCAAGCTCTCATAGTACAAACATTACTTCAGGTCCTTTCATTTGCTGCTCATTGTCACATGTTTTAATCATGCAAATATCTGTGTGATCTGACAGAAAAGTCTGAACAGTATAAATGAGCAGCAAACTTCATTTAAACTTCAATAAAAAGTCAACTTCCTGTGTACAGTTAAAGTTGTCCGCCGCAGCCACCGTGCATGTGCATGTCCTTTGTCATCAGTGTGTATTAGTGGTCTGGTGCTCTGTCCTTTCTGTTTCCATGTGTTGCATTTGTGGGATTAGTCTGTATAATTAGAGCATTGGGACGTAACTGGAGTGTTGGTCTGTTATCAAGGCTTGTGGCAGATGCCAGTTTAAGCCCCTCACAGACACACACACACTCTCTAAAGGCAGCTTCATAACATGATAGAGATTAGGGTTCAGTCTCTCTTCTCTCTGTCCCTCCCCCCTATTTTTCTTCTGATGCCCTCCAACATCTCTTTCCCTTCTTCCATAAATTAATATTGAATGTCTGCAAACTTCTTAATCTAGGAGGTACTAATGTGGGGTAGGGTGTGGGTACGGGGAAAGTGCAATGACCATTCAATTGTCTATAAGGCTGTATCAAAACACCGTGTAATTGAGATTTATAAATATTACAAGAGAAGTTTGTCAAAGTCTTATATCATATCTTCTGCTATACTACTACAATAAATAACTAGCACCACTTTTTTCGGTGCTAGAGGTAGGGAAAAAACTGGTTGAATGCCACATACCTCAAAGCAAGAGAAATACTGTTTATAGGGCCCTTTGGTGCAAACAGCAGTAAACGTGCCCGCCGCTCTTCTTTTTTCGCGGATTATTTCCTCATTATTGCTTCACGGAAGACCATGAGAAACACAGTCGGTTTTGTCCTAGAATAGAAATGATAGGCCAACAGGTGCTAGTCTCGACGTTCTTTCCTGGTATTCGCTTCATCGAACCCCCCAATAGAGGTTTCAGCGGACATCAGTCCGTTTCTCAAAGTGGTGACGATGAACATTTTAAAGCTGAAGTAAAGTGAATTGGGATCAATTATTCTTTATAAGTGGAGCCTATTTTATCGTGGTTTCAGTCTCTTCATCCATTGATTGTCCCAGTTTTGCTTTTACATAGGAAATTTTTGGACGCTCTTCTATTTAAATAAGCCTATGTCCAGGTGCCCTAACTGTTACGTTCAATATGAATATATACATTTTGTGTGAGCAGGTTAGCTTAGGAATTTAAACACAAACGCAAGCATTAATTGGCAGAAATGCACGAGACGTCCAAATAGCTGTTCGTTTAGTCCTGTGTGATTGAAAACCCTCAACCTCAACTCACCTGATCGCCCATTGTGTATCAGTAAGAAGTGGAGCAGAAATGAGAGTCAATATCAATTAGTTTATGACAGAAACTGATTAGTGACTGATTAGAGCGTAGAATCTAAATGCCACCGATTACTTCCACGTAAAGAAAAAAAAGGTTGAGTTTTATTCACATTGTGACTGGTAAACGTCTGAAGGGCGTATACATTCTTTTTTCTATCATTTAGACTATTGATTGATTGCAAAATATATCAAGGATTTACCTGATAATAGAAATGGACCCTAATTCTTTTAGGGAATGGATTTTTTGTTGATCTCAACTTGTGCGGGTGGCAGGAATGACTGACTGGGACTTCTGGCCTGTAGCTATGTTGATCTTCTTTTTTTTGTTTTGTTGTTTTATTCGCTTCTTTTGTGTCTTCCCGCTCGTTGCGGCTAGTTCTCCTCCTCTTACCATGATGTGAGATGCAAGAGCTTGAGCAGCACTCATTGAGCGGGGCGTGGAGCAATTGGTATTTGCATGCTATTGTGTGCCAGTGACGAGAATAATAATAGCACTGATTATCGGTGAATGCCAGCTTAAATTTTGCGATACCGATGGACGATATATCATGGTTTCCTGGTGGATGGTTTACAATGACGCGTTGGTATTATAACTGCGCCTCTTCACATCAGCAACTCACTCTTATGTACCCACCACACCACCACCCACACACAGCATTGCATTAACACTTCACACACACACACACGGCACACAGCACACACACACACCACACACACCATTGCATCTAACACCACACCCTCTGTCCAACACAACACTCCAGAGTCTCTCCTTTCATCACACAGCCTCTGACTCTGCCCGAAGCTCTGCGTCTCTCTCTCCACACACAATTCTATAATCACAACGATGTAGTGGGAGAGGGGACAGGACACACACCACCCCCACCCACTCCGCACGCACACACACACAGGATTACTAATGCAGTCTCTCCATCAGCTCCTCTTGCATGGCTCCCATCCCTCCCTCGGGCTCCACAGCTAGCTGCTGTTAGCACTGTCACTATGTAAAAACTGATAGCAGGAGCAAAGAGCCTTGGATGGTAGGACGCTCGACTGAAGCGCGGCACCGGGACATTTTAGGGTCACAAAGTCATCTTCTTGCTCAAAGACAATATGAGTGCAGCTTGTTGTTTAACCTTGAACAGGTCTGCAGTAGTAGCTTCCATTCATGACACACGTTATCAAAATAAAATGAAAGTAAAGGGTGAAGGCAGGCGTCAGGAGGTTAGCGCTGGTTCTTGAGGGGAGATCCTTAAACAATCAACACAAAATAAAAGAGGGATTAACTGCATAATGTGGGAATACTGCAGCGCCTTTATATGTGTGCCGTGAACTAACAGGTGGACTGACAGTTGATCTATTAAGGGAAAATAAGTGAAAACACGTGTGAGCCGGCTGAGTAGGGGCTTTACAGTCCTGTCAGCCATGTGACCCTTACATTACATTACCAAATGGTATTCCTGGTCAGAACGGTATGACTGGCTTTATACAAAGAGTTCCGGTTTATGGTTTGGCTACAAAATGTCAATGTGTGATAGATTAAGAACAAAATCTACCACACGGGCTGGCTTCCTGATCCAACAGGCTGGTTTAAGCCTGTTTGAAATATTGCAACACTTTTCTTGTTGCTGATGGATAATATGATGTATTCTGGCCTTTGAAGCAGTTGGGCATTGTTGCATGTTGAATGCGGCCCCGGCATGTGTTGGAACAAACTGCGTTATGTGTTTCTGATTTATAGCTTCAAGAACACAATTGGTGTTATTTCCCACTTGTATGAAACCTACAAACATTGGCGAATGCGTACCTAGATCAATTTAAGCAATGCCGGCTCAAAAAACTATCTGAAGTGACATTCAGACGCAGAGGGTTACGCACCTATACAACCCTTCATATAGTTCAGGCAGTTTTGTACAGCAACAGAAGCTGATGAGGCTGCTAGGCACAGCAAGGCCAGGTGTAACATACTGCCCTCCACTCCAGCAAACATCCAGAGTAACGGTAACGCCCCCACACATACCAGCTGTGAATTATTCTCTCTCTTAGTCTGCATTACAGAGACAGTGTATGATAATGAGGCCGCTGACAGACTTCCAAACTACAGATTTCACAGAAACGTTACTCTGCAATACGTTGACCGGTCTTGGCGTGAGAGCAGTGTTAGGTTTCTTTTTCATTACTGGTTGTAAAAAGAAAAGTAAAGCATGCCTGCCGCATGGTTTAAGAGACCAGACTTGCAGATGTCTTGTTCTGTCTGATCCACAATCCAAAGATAGATTAGTTTATTCTGATATCAAACACAGAGTAGTAAATCACAGTACATCTTCATATTTGAGGTCCTTTAATCATTGAACAGTTGTCATTTTGGATTTAGAAAACTGTAACACTTAATGAACAGTGTCCTCTCTAACTCTTTACAAACACACAATGGGTAACTTAAGGAACGCTTCATTTTGCCACTCTCCTGCAAGACAGCTGTTATTATTGTGGGTGTGCTGTCTGCAGGAGGCGCTCATTAAAAGCAGGCACAGCATGCAAATGTGCATTTGTACCTTAGAAGCAATAACTTGGAGCTTTCAAAGTACACGAATCATTGTTGATGTGAACAGACATTAGTGCTGGATCAAAGGAATCACTGAGCATTTTAAACAAGACTCAGCAACGAATGCACTTTACCTCACTAGCCCTGGTGTTTTCATCTGCAATGCTCCCACCTTTAACAGGACCTGTCAGCATCCACGTTACCATGGGAACCAGCAGTCGTTAACGCCAGGTCAATCAAAACGCTGAAGTTACACATCCCCCCTAACGCAGGACGAGAGCGTTCACAGTAACAGGAAAGCTCTGTGTGTCAACTCACTCTCACTTCCTGCACTGTTGTCTGCCTGGGCTCGCTCCCCCTAAAGCATTTAAAGATCTCAGACGTATAACGGGGTAACGTTACCCAGAGGGCTGTAATCTGTGGACTGTTACATGGGCAGCTGTGAGCAACATCAGGATTAATGTTCGCCAGCGCTGCTGAGGAAACCTCCACCCTGTGCTCGCTGTCAGCCCCAGCACTGTCGACAACCATGTTTAAATCGCCTTCCTCTCTGCCGACCCGGCGAGCAGCGAGGCTCCGGTTAACCACGGACAGCACCATCAATGTTCCCGTCAGGTCACAGTCCGGCAGGGCAGATGCACTGATTTAACATTAGCACACTGGCTAGCTGTTAGTAGCCGCTGGATTGCATCGTCTTCCAGTTCCATGTCGCCCTGGTCTTGTTACACAGACACACATTAAACCCTCCCCGGGCTGCTTCATATGACAGCTAGAGGCTGACGTTAGGAAGCTACAGCGGTCGAAATGAACCAACAAGGCGCGCTAACGTAACGTAACCTAGCTGTATATGAATGCAGCTAGCCAGCAGGCTAACCAGTGAGGAGCTAACGTCGGCTCGTCAGCCCGCTCAGGGACATTCTTTCACAGCACACACACTACACTCTGCCCTTACCTCATAGTTCAGTCTCCATCGGCAAATACTGCATAAAGTAGCTCGTTGAGTATTTGTGTGACCATATAATGTGGTATCTTCTCCCAGAATGTGGTGTTTTATCACCAAGCCCTTTCCGGCGATTCTCCTGTGGTTCTGAAATCCCGACCGACTGAGGGACAGCTGGAAAATGGGGTAACGTCTCTGACCTATCGCGAGATTAGAGAGTAACGCTATGGACAATGACGCCACCTCGCGAGAACCTGCAGCCCTCTGCTCGTGTGGATCGACGCTGTGAAGTGAAAAGGATTAGTTGCGCTCCTGTCGGCTGCCGTTTATCAGGAAAACAAGAAACTGCTGGGTTCGTTCAAATATATCTAACAACAACAAGAATAACGTGCTTGTCTGTTAGAATGGGAAAAGAAAAAGTAACAATTTGGCAATTTAAAGAGGGAAAATAACAGATTTATATCAGTATTCTGAGAATAACCTTTCTCTGGAGGAATTTATACCAGAATTATGAGGATCAGGACAGAGAGACTGAGGCTGAGAAAGTGCACAATGCAAGACACGTGACAGATAAATAAAATTACATAAAACAGAGTGATATAATCCACCGCAGTGAACATTAGGGTTTCGACACAACAGCAGACAGATGGCAGTGAATAGGCCTTCACAAACAAGTTAAAACCTACTTAGAAAATAACGCCATTGCACTAATTAGACAAACAGGGAAAGCTCTGAAATAAACACCTAATTTAAGACTTTACTTGTGTCTTGATTGATTGATTGATTGCTAATATAATAATGTTAATATGTTTTTAAATTCTGGGAGAGAGTTAATGTTTAAACCGGACCTTCCCTCTCTTCACATGTCAGTCTGCCCATAAATGACTTTGTGAAGGGTTATTTGCTCAAGTAGTGTGGCACTTTAAAGGTGGCCATCCATGACGTCCACTAGAGGGCGCCGTTGCGACACCATTAATAGCACAAGCACAAATTGTAAACCCAGAAGAAGAAGAGGTCAGCTGACCCAGGCTAGTCACTTTAGCAGCAGAGTTGGTTGTTTTACCAGAGAGAAGGAAGCGGATATATGAAAGGGGTTTAATATCTTGTCTTCCTGTAGCTTCCTCTCTGCATTCACTGAAGGATGAAAGGTTTGTACTGCCGAGCCGGTGGGACTGATGCTGAGCCCAAGTTCGTTATCCAGGAAACGGTGAGTTTGATCTGGTTCTTTCAGGGTCTGACTGCAGGTGGATGCTGCTGCTGCTGGCTGACTGTCATTACAAACCATCAGTATGATGTCCCCACCTGCAGACATCACTGCTGTACACTGAGGGTAGCACAGAGGAGGGTTATCCAGCATCTTAACACAACACAACTTCAAAACCCACATCTGAGCCTACCACATTGGGGATCTGAAAAAGAATTAGCATGGGTTACATTAGTAATGTATAGATTGTCATTTTCCAGGAAATCTTGATCACATCAGTCACTAATTGGTATAATAATATAGTAAGTGTAATAGGACAGGAAAGTGCTAATTGCCACAATATATGCCTTACTGTCTTTGTGTCTGTCTGTTTATTAAGACTGTTCCAGTCATCTAAAGAGTGTGTGTGTGTGTGTGTGTGTGTGTGTGTGTGTTTGACTGTTAGTTAGGATGCAAAATGTTTTAAAGC